GAAGCATAGTGTCGTTTACCAATATCTTAGTAATGAACATTTAAGTTTTAGCATTGTGGATTTAATTTGGTCATTATATAAGTGTGTTAATAAATACAATAATATTTTGTAAAAGTGGTAAGAACCTTTTATTTATCTTAGATATCGCTGTCTATAAAACATAGTGGGCCATCATTGAACTATTATATTTAAATCCGAATAGAAAGGCTGCATGAATACTACAAACCTTTATTTTGCTGTTGAGGCATGTATGCGGTCGTTCACTGCTGTTTCTATGGATGTGAACCACTAATGCACTTCTCTCGGCGAAGCTATTTTGGCCAACGGAACGACATTGTTCACCGTTGTGATTACGCTTACGAATAGATAAAGTTCTTCTTGTGCATCCCCTTTGACACTACATCCATGAAAGCGTTGACTGCTGTGAATACGCATATGACTCGCTAGATTTCCCCTATTTGCGAAGCTCTTTTGGCAGACGGCACATTCTTGAGAGGGATCGGCATCTGCCCAACTAAAGCACATTTATATGCAGTTATTTCGGCAGATGCAGCATTGATAAGAGCGATGGCTTTACGCTGAGATTGTTGTGATTACGCACGTGCCTCGTAAAAATACTTTTACTTTTAACACAGTTCGAGTATTTGTGAGCACATGAGTGCACTAGAGATCCTCTCTGTGCAAAGTTCTTTTAACGGACAACTATGCATGTGCGCATCTAAATTTCCTCTTTGGCGAAGCTCTTTTGGTAGATGGGGCAACCATCAGGGTATTCACCGCTGTGAATCCTCATGTGCGCAGAATAATTTCCTCTCTGTGAAAAGCTCTTTTGACACATGGAGCAATCATTGCGGGTGTTTACCACTGTGAATCCACATATGACTAAATATCCTCTGTGAGTGAAGCCCTTTTGACAGATGGAGTAAGTATAAGGACATTCACCGCTGTGGAACCGCATGTGGTTCACTAATCTTACTGTGAAGCATCTTTGGCAGAAAGGACATTCGTACGGGTTAACTGTTGGGTTCTTTATTTTCTTGTAGACGTTATCACAATTTTCAAAATGTATTATCAGTTACAACTGCCCATGCGAAAAACACGGCAATTCAAGGTTTATTCCCCACACTTATAACGACTGACTTTGGGATTTATTAATTGTCATTGCGAATATAAGGCACAATGAAAATTCCCTCTGGACACGTTTAAATTCAAAAGGAGAGTCAGTTGACCTTAGTAATATTCTTGGAATAAGCACATCCTCGTCTTTGAACTTTACTAAGATTGTAGTAGCTTAAATCAAGTATTTTATATTTTTTTAACTGCGAGTCTTGTTCGGTTGCACAATTTCGGCTGATTCAGATTGCGTAACATAATTGTCACAGAGCCAACCTTGAGCAGTTAATTGTGTAGCGGTAATCCTGTCAAATCCAATGAACTCCTAATTTCATTTAGATCATTGACTACTTCATTTGGATCGGTAATGGAATCAATAAACTTAAATGAATGCATTAGTGCATCGATTTGACTTTGACAAAATTAGTATATTTAAATCATCTACATTCTTATTTTTCGCTGCTAAAATGGGTCGTTTGTTCAACCAAGCATGGTTTTATAGTTCACACCATTTTTTTAATACGTTCGATATTAATTCTTCCTTTAACGTGGTGAATTGACAAACAAATGGTGGAAACGAAATGATGCCATTAGAAGTGTCAACAGGAATTTTCCCTATGCCGATGTCTAATAATTTAATTTGAAAGCACTTCCGCCGGTATATCATTTTCTAACACTCGTGTATTCGTTGTTAACTTGAGATTTTTCAAGTTTCTCCATAAATTCTATCTTTTTAAGCAAGTGTTTATTTCATCAGCAGCTGTTGGCCTGGGAATGGCTGGCAGCTTGTGTCCAAAATCTCCAGCCAATGAAATCATCGCCCCTCCGAAGAGCTTCTGATTGCTACGCAAATCGCTTAACGTTCGCTTGTGTGCCTCTAATGCTCGTTGGTGCGCCATTATACACTCATCCAAAATTATTATTTTACAATTTTATAGCACTTTCGCCATTTGCTAATATATTGATTATATTACTCGTCAGTTCACCTATTGTTTACGAATTAAGTGGCAATTTGAGCGTAAAGTTAGCGGTTCGTCCACCTTCTAACAACGTAGCAGCGATCCCAGATGCTGCTACTGCCAGTACTATTTTACTTTGTGCCCGAATAGCATCTGAAATTAATGAAATCAAGAATGTCTTACAGTTCCGCCGGGTGCATCGAAGGGGAAAAATTCTACATTGCCGACATTTACAATTTTCATTATCGTAGTGTAAGCTGTTTTTGCTGCTGATTTAAAACTGGGACTTTACTTTGCACGAAGTGACTCAAAGTATTTCTATCGCTTTGACGTTTTCGTTCAAATTACCTTAAAAAGAGTACGACAAACGCGAAGGAAATCCCTTATTCGTCCGGCTTGTTCGTCCGATAATGGAATATGGAACAATTTTTTGGGATCCACTCAAAATTATGCAGTGTAAAAATTTAAAAAGAATTCAGCGTTGGGCAGCTTAATTTACTTTCAGGGACAAGAAAATGGCAAAATGGGATTCACTCGAAAATAGGCGATCAGTAGCAAGGCTCTACTCTTTGTAAAGCTTATGGTGATCATCCTGCTTGGAAAGAAATTAATCGGCGGCTAAGTATTCCTACATATATGAGTAGAGGGGATCACAGGCACAAAATAAATTTAAGAGCGCAGAGAACGGATGTGCGGAAAATCTCTTTCACAAATCGAACGATAAAAGATTGGAATAGATTGTCTGAAAAAAAATTGAATTCTTTCCTCGTAGCGTTCAACAGTTTAGGAAAATAATTTAGAGCATTACGAAATAAATGAGGGACTTCACTGAGCATAGTAGGTTATAGAGCGATGCGTAAGTGATATATTGTGAAGTGAGGTGACGTGCAGTGTAAAACAGAAATAATGTAGGAAGTAATTAAAGGGTCATAGTGAAGTGAAGTGTAGTTGAACAAAAATTCAGTGCGGAGTTAGATTGTAGATGTTTCTTTTTCTAAGATAATGTAAATATTTTATGAATTAGACAGTTTTTATATCATTATTATTTTTTTTTATTATTGTATTTATTATTATCGTTGTTTTATCGGCTGTTTTTGTTGTTTCTATGATTATTATTGTACCATTATAATTATTATTATTATATAATTTGCATGTTAGCTGTACTATCTTATTTATGTAATAAGCTGCCACCAGGTTAGGTCCACTTGCAGTTCAAATAAATTTATCATATCTTCAAATTGAATGCATTGTGCATGGGGTGATTAGGCGCAGGTATTCCTAATTCGTGCAACATCTTGCCGGACATCATCACGCACAAATCCTCTAAAGATATCAATACCTCATTGTGTATCTGCGCAAATTTCAAGTTTGGGATTTGACGTTGTTGAACGTACTCGACGCAAATTGTCTGCAGCCATATCGTCTTTGTATTTGTTCCACAAATTATTTGGGTTCAATGGAAAGCACTTTGAAATTATGATGGCAAAAAGTGATCGAATTTGATGCGAAGTAGATGATGTAACAGCATCAGCGACTGTATGATCCCAATGAATAACATCCTCTAGTAAATGTAAATTGTTGTGGAGACGCTTTTCGATATGTTGCGTACAATTTACCATTGGTCATTCGTAGAGATTCGTATGAGGTTGGTACACGAACATTAACTAATAGCAAACGCAAGTAAACACATTCGTCTTTGCTTGGGTGAACTGAGCAAATGCGCCCCAATGCATCGGTTGAATTGACGACGACAGTTTCTCGCGCCTACGACTTTGAATCGCACGTCTGTCGTGTTATCGTTTCGCAGTATGTATCAGCTGAAATTGTTGTCCCTCGTTTCCAGAACTCAACCAAAAGAATACCCTTATCATCCCAGAAAACGGTAGCCACAATTTTTCTGGTGAGTTGAATATTTTCGGTTTTGGTGAAGTTTATCGCCACTGCATTGTTTTTATTTCTTGGGTTCCATAGGTTATCCAAGTCTCGCCTGTAACAATGTGGGAAAATAAATAATCTCCATCTTGTCCTAAACGCCCGCCCACTAGACATTCGTTGCCCTTTGTGTCGGTCGGTGAGCATTTTGGGTACCCAGCTTGCGCACAATTTGTGATATTCAAGTTTTTCGGTAACGATCTTGAATATGGTAGTGCGTCTAACATGAGGAAATTCATCAGCAAGGGCACTAAGTGTCAATCATCCATCAGATCAAAGCTTTTGTTCTATCTGTTGAACAAATTCACGGGTCTGAACACTGGGCTTACCACTCCGCTCTTCATCATACACATTAGAGCGGCCATTTTTAATTCGCGAAAGCAAATGTCTAGTTTTTCAAATGTTGCTAATCTCGCGCTTTTTTAATTTTATTTTTATTTATTTATCTTTAACTTTTACTTATTTTTCAACTATTTATAGTTAAAATGATGGGAAGGGATTCTGGAAATCAAGAAAACGTGCCAGATGATCTTCTCCCCATACGTCACATACAGTTTTTACTGTTTTTGACTAAATAAATCTTCATCAAAATTTATGACACCACTGTCTAACCTTTCCTTCACTGATTATTGTTGGTCCATAAACGAGGCATTACTCCTTGTGGATCTCAACAGCACACAATCCTTTAGCACACAGAAAACGAATCGCGGCTCGCACTTCACAACTGGCGCGATCAAAGATTGTCGCGGACATGTTTGACTGCATTCGTTGACGAGATCATAGCTCCGTGGGCTTTTCTAACGAAGTGCCTATAATGTGTTCACTTGGTTCGTGACGCAGTACGAGCAAAAATTGGTCACCACCACCGATTCCACCGATAAATTCACCACCACCAAAAGTTTAACGAGCCCACCGTTCGAGCGCAGCACTGAGGCAGAATTGACTTTGCGCTACTGTCGCAAGATTCACCACTTATTTTGCCATGGTTTGGCAGCCCTGAAATTTTGTCACATGCTTCTGTTTACATCACGTATAAAACGTAATAAGGTTGTTGTTGAGCGTGGATAATGTTACATTCACCTGGGGTTATGCACGTTATTTTTAGTGTTGTGATTATTTCAAGTATGTTTCCTTGGAGGTGTTTTTAGAAATGTGATTATATTTTGGACCTTCTTTCGTGTATTCCTACTTGCAATGCCGCGAGTTTTTTGGTAAGGGAAAACACTATCCCCGGAAGAACAGAAACAGTATCAGGGAAATGTTAGTAATTTCGAACTTAAAATAGAACACTCCTTCAAGTGCATCCAGAAGCAAATTATTATTTTCTGAGTGTGATTATAAAGTACGTGCTGTCTATGAACCAACATAATTTTGTGGTGGTATACTGCGGTATATGATATTTCTTACACCGTTTGGTAGATATGAGCGTTTCAATTATGACCCAAAAGTTGGTGGACTGAAAAAAATTACTCTAATACTAAATGTGTTGAAATAAAAGAAATTCAGGAAAGAAGAAGAAAACCTGCGAACGTACAGTGTATATTGTTCAATTCAGTGTTTTATGCAGAGGTTTTAAGTGAAACGAGGCCAGAAAATTATTGACACTTTTGATATTTCTTGTTTCGTGAGGGGACATACATCCCTAAATCAGAATTGAATCACCTCCATGTTTTAGGCTAGGCAGTGTATTTGCAATGTTGTTGCCTTTTTTGGGATTTCTCCATACCTGCTTCTATCCATCCAAGCCATAAAAATATATTTATGTCTTATCTGACATCTAACATTGTTCCAGAATGTAGAATCATTTTTTCTTATCTTTCTAGTTCTGCAAAAAAAATATTTTTTTTTAATGCTCGAATGTAGAACAGTTATGAGTTGTGTGCAAGAACACAACTGACAGCATTGCTCAACTCTAGCCCACTCACATGCAGGCTATAGTTCAACTCAGGAAGTGTGGCAAAACAATCTATCCTTGATCAGTTTCATTAGCTTCATTAGTAGTGATATCTAATGAAAGTGATCAATTTCATTAGCCCCCTGTGCCATGCTGCTACTGAAGAATCTTATATGTTGTTAAACAAGTAAAAGGGCCTTCAGTGGGACAGTTCCAACTTGCTATTTGCTAGAGGCATTGAAGGGTGTGCATTACGATACTTGAGAGACAGTGGAATCAAGTTACGAGAGAGCATAAACGCTAGAGAAAGTATTGGTATTGAACCTCCACATTCCAACTACTCAAATGTCAGAAGTCATCTGAATTAAATCAGAATAATTGATAGTACAAAAGAGAAATGAGTATCAGAATTAGTTATGAAACATTTACATTCTTAGGTGACAATAGCTGCCAATCAATTATTTTTACATACTAGCACTAAGTAAACTAAGCACACATAAATGACATGCCTTTATCTTTAAAGAACAACAAAATAAATTGTGTTTGCAGATGACACACACACTATCATCAAAGCAAAAACTCAACAATCATTAGAAAAAGAAACTCACAAAACTTTGCAAAGACTAGTAAAATGGTTTCAAGACAACAAACTCATCATAAACACCAGCAAGACAGTCTCTCTAAATTTCATGAATCCTCGATCTAAAGAAAAACTCTCACAGCATTTGCTCATAAACAATAACCCTGTAACGATATCTCATGAAACCTTCCTCGGACTAACAATTCAAGAAAACCTAAAATGGAACACTCGCATCTGAAATCTTAACAAGAAGCTCAGCAAATCTTGCTATGCCCTATACACCCTCAGGTCGAGCTCCAACATTGAGACACTTCAAACAATGTATTTTGCGAATGTGCACTCACACCTGAAATATGGAATAATATTGTGGGGAAATGCCCCTTAAAGCACTTGCACATTTATTATCCAAAAAAGAATATTGTGTACAATGACCAGCACTCATAAGCTGGAGTCTTGCAAACCCTTGTTTAATAAACTAAGGATTCATCCTTTACCATGCATGTATATATTTGAAATAGTGGTCTTCACAAAGAAAATTCTCATGTAAAACAAAGACACTTTTACTTTAAATTCTGATGTACACAACTACAACACCCGTCAAAAGGATAACCTACATGTTCCCCACTTTTGTCTACACAAACACTTTATCAAAAAAGTCCCCTAATAGAGGGCATTACACTTTACAACAAACTAGGCCATGATATCAAAGACATAAACACAATTCATACATTTAAAAGTAAATTGAAAGCTTTCCTGCTTAACATGTTCTACAGCGTAAAGGAATTTTCATATTACAACATTTCTCTTAAATAATATAAACAAATAAGAATTTCTTATCCCATTAGACTTTTCTGTGTCATGTAAACTTTTTCGAGCTGAAGCAAAGAAAAAAGAACTGGCATATTGCATCCTGTGAGATAGAAGGAGAATGCCTGACAAAAAAAAAAGAACCTGTCAACACTTATCTCCTCACCATTTCAGTTTTAAATATAGAATGTACTACTGTTGTTAAATTTGATGTAGTTGCAAACATAATTGATATGTATTGTTCCAATATTATTATTATCATTAATGTAATTATTGTTAATGTAAATATTAGTATTAATGTAATTATTAGTATTATTATTATAAGTAGTAGCATTAAAATAACATCTTGAAATGTTAATTATTAGCAGATTATTTATCTACTGTATAATATCTTAATCTAACTAACTAGTACAGTATTTCTCAGCCAATGACCCCCCATCTCGATCAGGTTTTGATCAGTTTCCCTGGTTCTTTGAGCTGAGATGGCCCCTTGTTTGCTCCTAAACAGTAATGTAACTTCGCTCTCTCCACCACGATTGTAATTGTATATGTGACTCAATAAATATTATTATTATTATTATTATTATTATTATTATTATTATTATTATTATTATTATTATTATTAAACAAACTGAAAAGTATCTGCAATACAGTTAAGTTAGAGTTGACAAGGAAAACATCATACATTGTTTTATCAACACTATTTTTGATGAAATAAAATTTACTGAAGCAGATTATACCTTTATATTTTCCTGAGTTCTGGAGATATTACTAATGCATAGGGAGCAGATTTGTCTAATTTGGTATGTTTTTGTCCATTGCTTCAGGGCATAGGTAATTGAAATTTCTTGACATTTGGTTAGAATTACATACTTGGTTAGAATGTTGGTGCATATTTGACCATTTTTTTCTGTTAGTGCATATTTGTGTAATAATAGGAGCATATTTCATTAAAATAGAGACTTATCTGCAAATCTTTTAATTTTTATCACAGAATCCATTAACTAATTAGAAAGAGCTTGCCACAGTTTGCGTTTTTTGTTGCTTTTTCTTCTTTTTCATTTCTCTTTCTATAGATGATTAAATACTTGTGCAATGTAGGATATTTCTTGATTTCTTATTCTTTAAACCAGAAAGAAAAATATGTATGTATACAAGAAAGTGAAAAATGAAAGATGACTTGAGTAAAAAGTGAAAAAATGTACTTTTCTAAGATGCATATTTACTTCAATTATTTGTCCCACGAAGCAAGCTAAGTAATATTATTTATGCACAAAAATAAATCCAAGCATGCATATGAATTCTAAAAAAGGTTTAAACAGGAAATGAAATATCATTAATTTTAATTAATGTTGCAAATATAAAAATATATCTTCAAAACTAAGAGAATTATGAGAGTTTTGAGTATTCATTATCAATTTGTAATTATAGGGCTCAGTGCAAATCATGCTGTGCACAAGGGCAAGCACTCGCTCTTTCTCTTCTACATGCTATGACGTTGTCTTTTAATGTGTAACTTACGACATATGCTGTTTTAGCTAGGTATGTACATTATTGAAGAATACTTATCATTTCTTTGTAAATGGAGTAAATTCAGAGCTCTGTACTTATTTTGCTTCAAATTAAGCACTACATTTCCGTAGTTTTATTGCCTGAAAAGTGTGAAACAAATATCTCGAGAAGCTTTGAAACAATATTCCAAAAAATATTAAAGGAAATTTTGATGTTTTGGTAGTGAAGCAGATGTCGGATTTCATGGATTTGTTCAAGCTCTTGTTATTCTCCTCTTGTTAGGCAATGTTTATAACGTATTTTGAATTAATCAAGAAATTTTGTTTCATGGATGAATTTAAGTTCAAAATATGATGAGGAGATTAATCCCATTATTTCTTTTTGAATATTGTGGTTTCTATTTTTTGTTTCCTTGCTTTCCGATTTGGGAAAAGTCATACGATGATGTGGGAAGTAACATAATGAATATTTTATACTGTAGTTTTGTATAAATTGTGATTTTGTATGTGAAGAATTCTTAATTTGGTTTTTGTTTTCAGGTTAGAGAACTGAATGTCAATTTGAGTGAATGTGTTCTGAATGACATTGTAAGTAACAGACATTTTTTGTCTGTTGAATTTCAATTTTCTCTTTGCCTTTTTTTTCTTGATTTATTTTGTTAATATCACTCAACTTTAATTGTTTTTTGAATAAGTGATGTTTAAAATACTTATATATGTTTTTTTTTCTTTGCTTTTTTAATGTATTAGTTTCTGGTATAACACATGATTATTCTTGGTTTACCTTCAGTGACTAGGAGGCAAACAAATACTTGCTTGTTTCAAATGGATGTGGGTTTGTTTTTTAACAGTTCTGTTTATTTCATTCTTCTGTTATTCTTGATGTATCTGTGAATTTAGTGGAGTTATATTTTAACTTAAGATGTATAAACTATTATTAGTATATTGATGTGTAAATTGATGTAAATGTTGAAAATTCTTATCTATTTGCAAAAACAAGTCTAACAACCCATGTTTGAGGGACGAAATACTTCTAAGAAACTCATTACTACTCAGTTTCCTCAAAATAAATAAAATAAATAAATAGCCTCCTTTTGGAAGCGGTCATTTTGAGTGTTTCTCCATCTTTTGCAGGTAGGGCAACAATGCCAGCTTTCTAATTTGTTCAGTTCATTTTTGTTCATGAAATAATCTTCATAAATTATCAGCAAAAGTATGTAAGACTTCTTTGAAAACAAGTAATAGTAACAATTATCACTTCTGACGAAGTGATAATATTTCACAATCTCTAATTGGTTTCTTAAGTCCAAATTCTTGCATGTTGATATTTAGTGAGTACATGTCCTAATCAATTTCACATGTTCCGGGGAAATTCTCTGGTAAATTCCAAAGCATTAGTGTAAAAAACTATATAATTCTGAAGTAAACATTTCATTTTCTGTTTAAGTGAATGAGAGAATTAAGAAAAGATTAATATGTTGCTTCTATCCATTGTCAAATTTTTATTTATTTGTGAGATGTAGTACACAAATAAGTGACATAATAATTTTTTAAAAGCAAATAAAAGTATACCATACAATCTGTTATTGAAGATTTTAATAATAATTATAATCTAGGTACAGTTATTTAAATGGTTTTTCATCATAATTCACACTGATTGTACTTGCCAGAAAATCAATAGTTAAAATTTTCAGTTTTTGAACTTTGAGAAAATGAAAAAGTAGAATAGAAGAATGAAAGAAAGAATAGACTAAAAATAAAGAATAGAATAGTAGAATAAAAGAAATTATGCTGTGTATGTATATTGCATTTTGTTTTTTCAATAAAAATTGCTTGAGTAGTGCACCGATGGACACCTACAAATTTATAGGTAAACCATGTACAAATTAATATTGGAATGATATTACATCGCCCCATTAATTACAGAGACCTGGTGAACAGTCTTCCAGTTTTCAGTGAAAGAGGAAATTGACATTGAAGAGGTGAGTAATAACTTAGGGCTTTATTTTTTGTGCAGAAAATGGCAAAATATGCCATGTATTAAAAATGTACACAATATGCAAAAGAAGGTAGTGAAAATGAGGGAAATAAATGTAACAACACTACCAACAGTATCTAAATACCTGCATGACAGAAATTATGTCCATAATAGAAATTACTTGAGGATTAAGCATAAAGTATTGTCAAATGTTGCAAAAAAACAAATAGCAAACTGATGATTGATGTTAATATATAGGTGCATGTGATCCCAAACTCAAGACAAATGAAAAGAGGGAAGTAATTGAGGGAGGGATAATAGACAGCATTCTAGTTCTTCAAAGTAAGATGTGTGAAGAATATAATTATCAATTGAAATTTTGAGACCTGATGCTGGATACACCAGTTCTCCACCTCTCATTAGTTGTTTGGTCTTCGTTCTTTGGTATTTACATATCCAAAACTGAAACTGTGCAACATACATTTTTTAGTATTGCTGTAGTCTGGATTTGGGTGTTCCTTTTATTGATCGTGCTTGTAAAAATATTGCATTGAATTAACCCTCCAAGGACGAGGTGATGGTGGTGTGATATTGAGCAAACAAGTTGTGATACAACTTGGTTACTGTTGCTGCAGGTCGATATTTCTGTACATGCAAGTGTATCCTTCTCGCAGAGGGGTTTGAATTTGTCAGTTTATTGTGTGATCTTGCCCAAAAAAGGTGATATATAATTTTTGCCTGCAGTTAAAAAATTATGATATTTTTTCTGATGGACCCTGATCTTTGTAAAGTACAATTTATTCAATTTATCTCAATTGTAGGTAGTTCTAAAAGTAAAGAAAATCATTTCATTAATTTTATTATAATTACAGGAAACTGTGGGGATGTGAAAAGGTCTGTGTGAGATATTAATGACACTCATACTTCATTGCTTTTTAAGCCTCCCCACATTTTATTTTATTATTATTATTATTATTATTATTATTATTATTATTATTATTATTATTATTATTATTGTTATTATTATTATTATTATTATTATTATTATTATTATTATTATTTGTGTGTGTGTGTTAGAAAGTCAAAAATCGGAATTTTTATAAGATTATATTTTCATTACACCACCGCCTGTGAACAAGCTATCTGATGAAGACTGTGGTGATGAGAACGCAGGAGATCTTCTGAATAATTTGAGTGGCGATAATTAGGAGAGTGAAACTGAGGCAATTTTGTCTTATGGAATGATTGGGAAATGGATAGACAAAAGTTGCAGTTGCATTAATTTGGAGAATCTTCAGTCAAGCATGTAAAGAGGTAGTTAGCAAAAGATTAAAAAAGAAATATAAATGTCTCTCAGCTAGCAATTATTAGCATATACAATAGAAATATGGGTAGTACTGATTGGGTGGATGAAGATATAAATCATTAACAGAGGTAAGAAATGGTACTAGACAATATTGACATAGCTCATAAATGCAACTATATATCATCCTTGGCAAATTTACCAGAAGACAGGTACGAAAATCACTTAGCTGAAATCCAAAAGAGATTTTGCCATCAAGTATCTCAGAAGATATAAAACAGCTGTCAAATCTGTGGGAGCAACAGCTCTGATGTCGAAGAGATCTGCACATGTATAGGCCAACATTCGTCACAATTGAGCTGATCATCTACTTGGGGAAATGGAAAAATAAAAAAAGATAAAGTGTGGGAATGATGTGTGCGAAAGTTGAGTCAATGTGCATGAAGTGCAACTTTGTTTTGTGCTTGAAACGCAATCTTCCGTTTCATACCAAAAAGAAAATGAATACTAATTTCCTTCTCTGTGACTCTAAAACTTTTATAAAAGAACTAAATAGGGAAATTAATTTGTTTTCTTCTGATATTGCAGTCATTGTACTGCATAATTGCTTGTGTGTGGCAAATAAATGCTCACCTTGTTGAATATTTTCTCTTTCATCCCAGTCCAGTTATCACCCCCAAAAGACTGGTGTGACCAATATGTCACACCTGCTCATGCCTTACCAATATGTGCAATAATGTTTTTAAAATGTTTGGGGGCTTAAACTAAAATGGTTGGTTTAAGAGTGTGTCAAGAAATTGACTCCTCCTCTTTCGAAAAAGAATTTTCATCCTTCGGGGGTTAAATATATTCCAACACTTAAATCTTAGCTGTGCTTGATTAATGGCAATATTAATTTTCTTCTTTAGTTCAATCAAATATTGTACAGAAATTCTATTCTTCAATTCTAGAAAAAATGAAATTTTTGTTGTTAAATTTTATAGTCTTTCACACCCAATACTCCTATGCACTAAACATTAAGTTAAATAAAGGAAATAATACTAAATTTTTGTCAAACTCCAGGAGCATCTAATTGATATGTGAATGATATTATATTTTATGTACTTTTCACATTCTTTTGATCACATATTTCCAAGTTTCTTTATGTATTTTTATATTTATATACACATTACAGATTGTTTGTATGTTACATAAATAAATAAAATTAATTATTATTTGTTTGGGCTTCTCTTCCTCCATAGCAGAAAGCCACAAACTGGATTGATTTTAGGCTTCAAGTTGTTGCCCAATTTTCACATAGCTTTTTTACTTCATTTGTGTTTTCATTCTTTTACATGTTATAGTGTTCCTGGAAATTAAAAAGATAACAAATAAATTTAAGAGCACTCCCAATCTGAGTGACTTAGTATTGTGTCTTAACAGAGATTTGCCAAAAATGGAATAATACCATGGACTTCTCGAAGTGAAAGAAGTATGCGATTGAATATTAATATTCCAAGCTCGTGTTATGTATATCTATTTCACTTCTTAGGATCTTTTTGAAATCTGAATGGCATAAGTACATTTAGTAAGAATTTTTGTATTTCATTTTTGTTTTGGATTAAATGATCAGTAAAGACAAAGTACAATCAGCTATTTTCATTCTGATCATTTTGTTTGCTTTTTCTACCCTTCAGCACAAGTTGGAGCCTCTGGATTAAATTTTTGTGAAAATGGAAAATATGGAAGAGCTTCAAGAAGAGGTAAGACAACCAGCTACTAACATATTTGGGTAGCGTAATATTGTACGTTATGTCTGTTACAGTCCTTAATAAATATTGTGTGTTCAAAACTATTTTTGTAACAGATAAATCATATTTTACATCCCAACACTTTCAAAGTTTGTACTCGGAAAGAGAAATAGTTTGTACCTAGAAAACACTGGAAAAATCTGGGAATTTGAAGGGAATAGTAGGAAAATTTTGCTAATACATATTTATTTAATGAAATCAGATAGATACATTTTTAAATTTGTTGAAATCAAGAAAATATTTAATGTTAGTAATGTTTAAAAATTTAACATTCAGTAATGTTACAATTTTACTACAAATCCAAAGTAAAACCTTGTATGTGCTGTGCCAGTGCCATTGCTAGAATTACTTTCTCAAAATGAATTTTCAGGGAAACTCTCGGAAAGGAATGCTAGGAATGAAAGTTAATATGTTGTACATGAGCAGTTGCCAGGAGTTGTGTGATATGAAGTTAGTCTGTTAAACACACAAAAACTTAATCGGAACAATAACAGCAGAAATCTTTTGATTCAGTGTACAGAGAGACTGTGTTTCTACTATTTATTTATTTTCATTTTTCACAATTCTTTTCATTTTAATGTATTATTGATGTTTGTGGAACCGAAATAAGTGTAAAACAGACAAATAGTTTAGTGTTGGCTGTACTGGTGATTGAATAGTGTAAGAGCAATTAGCAACTATTATTAAGTGAATTTTGTTAGTGAGCAAAAGTTATACGGCGATGAATTTAGTTAATTTACTTAATAAAATAAAGTGTTTTGTTAAGAATAGTGTGGTAAACAAGAGTGGGAAAGTATGATCCCTGGATTCATTCAGCGCAAGATCATATTGAGAAAAGAACAAATTATTGAAAGCAATCATTACACCCCAGCTCTACCATTACCAATTCTTGTTCGTAGAGAAGAAAATTAACATGTGATACATTTTTCTAGAACAGTGATTTTCATTCTCCCTACTTGACAATGTCATCCGAAATTCTCCAGAGAACATTATTTTTTAATGTTTTAAATATTATTAACAAAGTTTATTCTTAGAACATATTTGTACTATCTCATGTATGTAGTATCAAGTAATGTAATGCCCAAAAAATTAATGCTGAGGTTGCGATGAAAATTCATATTGGGGACTCTTTATGTCGAATTTTTGTTCCTCCAAAACCGCCCCTTATCCGACAGTTCGTCTGTTAACAACGCTTTCGCAAGTACTTTACAGACGATTTTCACAAAAATTATTATTTCTCGAGTGATGAGACTGATGTTGCTTCTCCTTGTATTTAGAACCAATATTATAATTTTTATTATTTTTTTAATTTTCTTTTTCCATTTTTGGGACAATACAGTAAAGCATTTAATAAAAATTGCATTGGGCCTAATTTCATAAAACTTTCAGACATGAAAATTGATCATTGAAAAGTTCAAAAGTTAGAATTTTTTGAACTTCTTCTGTAAATACTTAATGAAACAGATATTGTTTTAATAATGAAAGCTTCTTTTTATAATTACATTAGGTGAGACACGAGTTTTTGAAATTTAGTAGGTTTTGCATACTTGTGAGTGAAATTTTGATAATTTAAACTAGTGGTGCTACAGAATACCACAGACATTCTCGTCATAAAATTTTCTAATTACATTCGTATGGGTCCTAACTTCATGATCTTGCCTCCATCCTCTTGGCGGCTGCCATCTAACACTGCCCTAAACACATTTCTTTTTAATTTTCTCAATTTTTCAATTTCTTAATAGTGGACTCAAAGTATTACTTTTAAAATATTAAAGATGAGAAAAACCTCGTCGAATTTACAGCTGTTTTAAAGGAAAAATCATTTAAGCTCTTGCGAAATTTGAAGCTTTTTTTTCACAGAAATTTTTTGAAATTTCCAAAAATGTAACTTCAATCACTTTGTCACAAATGCTATAATGTATACTAATTTCTGGAAATGTCCATATTAACAGTGTGAAAGCTGTTTCAAAAAACATTCATCTGTGTAATTTTTGAGAAAGAAAGAATACAGCATAGTTAATTTTATGTCATCTTAAACAGTGCAATAAGTACTATCCATACAAAACCTTCGAAGAAAGGGTTTCAAACCGTTTTTGAGAAAATGATGTTTGATAGTTATGAATATGTGGAATTTTGAGCGAGTTTTCAACAAACTTTATAGAATATTGTTTAAAGCACATGTACTCATAAATACAAAAATATGAATGGTAGTGTAATTAATTAAAGATATGAGAGGCTTGTCAAAAAAATAATATTTTTGTAATTTTTGAAAAAACAAAATAATAGAGCAAAGAGTACATTTCGCACTGACCATACCAAAAGTTTAAAGAAAATAATTGGAGCAGTTTTTGAGCAAATCTTGTAGTTATTATGTAAAATTGCCCATATTGCATTCAAAATATCTATCTTCAATTTTATAGTTGCAGGAAGAAGTCAAAAAAATTCAAACTCTGCAATTTTCGAAAATTTAGAGTTAACAGTGGAAGACAAACATATGCTACCTTTAAAAGTGTATTTTACTCTCTTCTTTCAAAAAATTTAAAGAAAACCTTTGGAGCCATTTTTGAGAAAATTTTGAAAATGCCCCCAGGGCCTTTATGTAAAGTACCCCCTAATTTTAAAGAATGGTTTTCAAAATCTTAAACCTTCGATTAGAGCCAGATGGACAGGGGTTTCTGTAATTTTGAAAAAATCTTATGTATGTTTTAGGCACTAGTGTTGTTCACAGATGGACGAAAATACCATGTTATTGGTATCATGGGACCACAAAACATATATTTCCATTGAAATTTCGAAAATCAATGTTCCACAGCATTACGTAACTATAAAAAGAAATCCTGGAGGGTGCTGCACTTTGTATTGCGTATTCTTAAAAACACTGGATCAAATGCCTGATCCCTAGCATACACTGCATTTGTTCATCCTATTTTAGAATACGGAGCAACATGCTGAAACCAGCACAGAAAAGGGCAAATTAAGGCATTAGATAAAATTAAAAAATGAGCCAGAAAGTTTGTAAATCATGAGCGCGTTGTTGATGAACGAGAAGAATGGTAATTGTTCTCGAAGAGAAGGGAATGGGTGCGTGTATGCATAATGTACAAACTGCCTGCAATATCACCAAAGGCTCGTCCTTCTGATGTATGCAAATTTAAAAATATGCTTAATTCCATCTAGATCATCACTAATAATACTGAGACATTTATTATTGTTGATATTATTATTATTATTATTATTATTATTATTATTATTATTATTATTATTATTATTACTACTACTACTACTACTACCATAATTATTGCCACGTCCCTTTTACAATGAAGTGTAGTATACTGAAAGGGAGAAGGGAGGTGTATGTAGTGGAGGGGAGGGGAATGAAATGTTAGATAAACTAATGTCAATGTAGAGATAATGAGAAATTAATTTCAACTAGGATATCAACCTCTAATTTTTATTGTAAATGTTTGTAATAGTTTTGTACTTGTTATAATTGTAATTGTAATCATGTTTGCCTCCAAGCATTAGCTCAAAGCAAACTTTAATAAATGTATCTAACTTTCTCTACACTTCATATATTACTCCGTATATATGTACCACTGTGTGAAAGTAAAAATATATATAAGCAAAATTTTCTCAAAAGCAACTCCTGTAAATTCATTCTTAAAATACACCAAAGTTTGCTTCCAATTTTATTTTCATAAAGTCCTCTTGAATTTCGAAAATTGCAAAATTCATATCTTTTCTGAACCTGTTGTATATTAAAGGAAGAGATTATTTTTTTAACGCAGACTTTTTCTTAATATTAGATCTTAAAATCTTCCCGATTGTTGAAATGTTGGTTTTCATGTAATTTCTGGATGACTAGCAAGGATAATTTTATGCCCTAAAAAATCTTGAATTATGCTTTAAAAGATATCCATTTCTGATCTAAAAATGTTCAAATATGCACTTTAATATGCAATTTAAATTAAAAATATTTCATTTCCTGCAGTAACTTTTCTTGATAAAATGCAGAAGAAACGTGCTTCGAATGAAAAGATATATTTTTGTGTAAACAGAACTTAACACACTTAATTTATCTTACTTCACAGGGAAAATAATTAAAGTAAATATTCACCTTAGTGAAGTACATTGTATGTCTTGTTGCATTTATTCTACCTGGTAAAAAAATATGATATAAGAAATTTCCTACATTTGCACAAGTATTTTATCAATAGAAAGGAAAAAAGTGCTAACTCTAACAAGCTTTTTGTGATCGATAAACACTCACAAATAAATAGATCCTAAAAAAGTTGAAATGTTTTTGGAAATAGGGCTCTATTTTAACGAAGTATACAAAATATGCCCCAATAATTACATGAATATGCACCAAAAATAAAAATCGGCCAAATGTACACTAACATTAATCTACACAGCATCTAATTGTAACCAGATGTCAAGAAATTTCCCTTAGCTATGCCCTCAAGCAATAGACAAAAATATGCTAAATCATAGAAAATCTGCTCCCTAGTGATGATAAAGATTAATTTTTTAAAACTTTTCTTACACTACAGTTTTGTGCAAATATATAAAATTATTGAGCCAATGTTTGAAGATAATGCAGAAAACACTTTTTCTTCCAAGAAAGAGTATACACATTCTTTACCTTGCACTATACTGTGCTTGGATGCAATTAGGAACTATTATAATCGTGGTGTAATACATACTAATTGTGGAATGCAATGATGTAATGTGATAATATATAAATATATAAGGTACATTGTTACAATTACATACAGATGATGATTTAATGTATTATTTCATCAATTTATCTGTTTGTTCCTAAAGTTCTCGTGTCAGTGAGAAGTCGGTGAATTGTTTGATTTCTTTTTAAGCCACTATTGTTCTATTTCTGTTTCCAGAGCCATCTTGCCCTTGATTTTGATGGTATTGCAGTTGAATCAGGAATTCATAAAGAAGACACATGCTTTCCTGGCAAGTAGAAACCAATATGAAAATCGGATGATCGCGGAGTTGGATGTGTTGAACATTATTTTATTGAAAGTTGTAAAGTGAATTATGAGAAGTGGTAGTTTTGTGTGTGTTTGCTTTTGTATTTTTTTAATAACATTTGCGTTTGGCACACTTTAATTATGTCATTGCAACATAAATTTTGAACACTGGAACACAGATAGTGTTCATATTTGATATGTTTTCAAAATTGTGATTTATTACTCAATTTTATGCAGTTTAACTTTTTTTGTTTCTTTATTTAGTGCTGGGTAAACTTAAAATTAATTATGATTATTTAGACATGATTAAAGACAGATTCACAACATAGCTATAATAAACTAGCAAAAGTCTGTTTTTCCATGGTCAATATTCTGGCGTATGGAGGTGGCTTTGCTGCTATGAATGTGATGTGAGGTGGCAATGTTTTCTGGAATCAGGCACTTCTCAAGATAACATATACTATATGTTTCACTAATATATGTATTATAATTAAAATAAATTTTACATTGTTTTTACACCTCCCTTCTTTCACTGAATCATTATGATTAGGGCCCAAAAGTTCAGAACCTGGTTTTCTACCACTATCTTAGATCTTACTGGTTCCTTTCTGCAAAATGCCATAATTTGGGTTTTAGATGTGGATATTTCACAGTTATAATATCTAGTTATTTGCTGAGATTGTAGATATTGAGCTGAAGTTCATCTTCTGTCTCAGCAATCGGAACTTGATCGAATGCATATAAGATAGAATTTATGAAACAATTTTCTGCAATCTCAATTCCACGAGAAGCATAACAGTTCCATTCTTTCAGCATTTCATCTATGTTTATAAACTAAACAGTGTTGCTGAGAAGCTACAACCTTGTCGAACCTAAGGTTTATATTCAGAAACATTTTGCTGATTTTGAAACCTGTGTCGATACATATTCTTGTTCCAGCATTTGGCATAGCTTGGATGATATGGTAAGGTATCCCCTTCTTTATTAAAATTTCCCACAGCAGTGGTCGTCTAACTTTGTCAAATGCTTTCACATAGTCAATAAAGGTTATGTTTGTCATGTGTTTCATGATTGTATTCCCTCCTTTCTACTAGAATTTTGAGTGTAAATACGCTATCTGAAGATAGCGTCCTCTTCTAAACCAATTTTGTTGTTCACGGAAGATGGTGTGAGCTATCGGTTTCAGAGTGAATTCTTGTGCATACTTTATAAGCAGAAGTTAGCAAACTTATTTGTCTATAATTTCCACAGACTGATCTATCACCTCTTTTATAAATGGGTTTTACAACAGCCACTTTCCACTCTCTTGGTATTTGACAATAGCTCCAGCATAGATTAATGTAGAACAACAGTTGCAATATCTAAGCAGGGCCACCATATTTCAGTAGTTCAATATTCATATTGTCTATTCCTGCAGTTTTTCTATTTCTATTCATTTTCAAAGCACTGTCTAATTCTTTAATACCGATAGGATCTATATTTTCTGCTATGTAATTTTCTTGGATTTCTCCTCTGCCTTCTATATCACACCATCGTTCTTCATAGTACTGCAACAAGTCTTATTCCTTGATAACATTTATATGGGCTGTGTCTTTCTGTTCTTTGTGTTTCAACACTTTGTATGCATATTCTTGTCGTCCATGTGCATCAATATTGACGTCCATGTGTGTCAATATCTTAATCTTCTATCAATCATCTTCAATACTACTTATGTAATAATCTCAGCTTTTCTGATAAGCTTCTCTAACTTTTTCTTTAATTTTGCACATATTTTATAATCAAAATTAGGATTTCTTCTTTTCTTTTACAGTTTCTTCAATTCCTCTGTTCAGATATTGATGCCTCTTCTGCTATAGTTTGTATACGTATAGCCAAGGGCTTCTTCTGCTGCAGCTTCCATAGATTTTTTTATATTTGCCAATCTTCTTCTATCTTAATGCTTGGCTCGTTTCTCCTGAATATTTTCTTTTCTACTTGTTCTTTTCCATGGAGCCATGACTGTTGCTCGTACCATTAAATGGTCAGAATTGGTATCTTCTTTGAACACATATACATCTTTAACCAGTTTTGTTTCCTTATTTACAAAAATATAATAAATGAGGCTTCATGTTCGTCTTGTTGCCCAGGTAAATTTATTAATACTTTTCTTCCAGAAGAATGTGTTCATTATTTTTAGCTCATTGTAAACACAGAAATCAATTAACCTTCATCCATTATTGTTAACTGTTGTTTCACCAAAGGTTCCCACAACATCAATCACTAATTGGTGGTTAGCCTACTCTTGTATTGAGATCTCCTGCAATTATTACTTAATCATTTTTTATTTATTGTGTTTATTACATTTTACATATCTTCCTCTCTATCTTCTTCCGGAGCATATGTTCCAATTATTGTTATATATCCACATGGAACTTTTAGACATAACAATACTATTCTGTCATTGATAAATCTATAGTTCCTGATAAATCTTTTCCATTTTTTATCCATTAGAATAGCTACACCACTACTACAACCACCACTGTCTTGTCTGAGTGATTCCAGTCCATAACGCAACCATATCTCTAATATCTGAGGTTCTGTGAAGTTTCTTTTTTTTTGTCTTAGGTAGTACAGCAATATTAATTTTCTTTCTGATCATATCTTCTTAATTTTTTTCTTTTGTATGCAGTCCTTGAACATTCCAAGTCATATTTAAATAATGTTTAATCCCATTTCATTTACCTTTCTTCTTAGCCATGTTGTAATCAAAATTTGAGTCTGGAATCTTTCCGTTGAACAAGCGAGTATATAAATTAATTCTAGGAACGTTACCAGCGTCTCATGGAATGTGATGCCTGATAGGGCTGCTATGTTCATGTCTGGCTTCCTATGTACACTGCCAATAGCTAGAGTTACCCCATCCGCCAATCGTGCCGTTAGGGTGTTGGCCTTTGTCACTCCAGGCTTGGGCTGTAGCTGGCTGGACCGTACCTCCAAATATCTGTGAGGCCCTCCAGTATGATCACTGCACAGCATTCTAGCTAATTTACCCCCATCTCTTGTTTATTTGGCGACCCATGCCACCAATGGGATTTGGTACCACAACCTTGGAATGGGTTACTCGTTGTAACAGAGCCTACCGCGGGAAGGTAAAAGAGGATTTGAAATGGAGAAGCTAAGAGACTTACTTGTGAGAGTCTCTTATTTTATATCTTCCACCTCTAGGATGTTACTATATGTTTTACTATGTATGTTACTATGTGTTTGTGTGTGTTTTTAATTTTTTAAATTTTAGTATATACTTACAATTTAGATCTTCTAGATAGTAATATGGAGTTAAAAATATTCTTGTATGTGTCATATGTGCTACTGCCATCTGCTATTGTTTCCATGACTTCTCTATCAATATTAAAAATAGTGTCTAGATGATTTAAATGATGTAACATTTTTAATTTCCGTATAGTCTATTGCTATATGTCATCATTTCATCATTTTATCATTTTTTACTTCTATAAAAAGGACTTATAACACTTTCTAACCTATCTATTTATATTATTTCCCTACTCCAGATTTTGCACTTTAGATGGTAAATTCTCTTTCTTAGAACATTTTGCTTTTTTTTTTAAATAATTAAATCTGCTTTAATATCTGTTCCAGGTGACTTGTGGTATCTCAGCTTGGTAGATTTCATTGGAGGTTGGAGGATTAAGACTATTACCATTAAATATAAATGAAGAAAGATGATAATCTTGTAAATCTAAACGTTCTTCATTTAGGTTTTCAATTTGTTGTCTGTTGCTTAGGAGTTCAGATAAATATGCACCCAGTAGTTTAGTATTTGTTGCTCTCCAGTTATCACTCTTCCTTTAGTGCCTTTAAATGCTAACATTTCTTTGGTTGATCTGTGGTTGTCCTTTACATCTTCATAAAATTTAAGTGTTTGATTCATTCTTTATGCATTTTCTTTTTTCAAATTCTACACTCCAACAATTCTCTGTTTTTATTCTGCGTATTGCTCTTTCTTTTTCTTCATTGTGAGGTAAATTTTTCTTTGTTTGCTCTAGTGCTAATCACTAGTCATTTCTTTCTCGTCTTAGTTTTTTCTTGTACAACTTTTCTACCTTCTTCACACATTCCTCATTACTCCTTTTCTTTCTGATTGTCTTTGATGTGCTATCTGCAATACCGTTCAGGTGGCTTCATGAAATTAACAAAATTTTGCTTAGCATTTCTTGAGTCAGCAAGTAAAGTAAAATGAAACTGTTGTTATTTCAGTCTATTCACGCCGAATTCCATTGCCTTGAAATGTTAATATAGTAAACCTTTGTTAACATGAATCCCAAGGGACTGTAAAATCAAGAGTTCATGTTAAACAGAGGAGTAAATTTATATTTTTGGAAAATAGTTTTTTGTACTCACTGATCATTTACAGTAAACAGGGACATGTGTTCTACTGTGTAGTGTAGAAACACTACAGTATATAACTTTCTTCATAGTCAGTGTTACTAGGTACAGTACACCAATCCTATACTAGTTTGTGACAATAACCAGTGGCGGCCGGTACGGAATTCTGTTAGTGGTGCGACATCAATAACAGTACATCGATGTTTTTAACATCGAAACAATGTTTGAAAACTGCTTTAGTAATCTTTATAATAACATTTATGGGCAACAAAATTTAATTTTACAGTGGCTGTGTTTATTAAGTTATAATAAAGATTATACCAAAAATATAAGAACAAATAAAATACTGATGCTGAAAGCCTGCCTTAGTAGCTAGCTCGAGTTCAGCCGCTGTCTGGAGGAGAATTCTAACGGTTGTCTGCCGTACCCTGCCATTTTTCGTGGTTTCTCCACGGAACAACACCGGGCAAATGCCGGAGCAGTGCCCTAACAAACGGGCGAAGGACCGCTCGCGATCTTTCCTTCCTCTTCCTTGCCTTATCCTCACTTCTTACTCACTTACATGCGCTATACTACTGCAAATGTCGGGAGACCTGGCTGGAGCAGGGCCTCTCTGGCGGGAGATACCTGGTTTGGAAGACCCATGTAACCGACGGGTAGGTTGGCGCCTAATCTCACTATGGGGAAGATCTTCGTCTTCCCCTGAGGGGAAAATATACACTTGTGACCGTAGCAGTTAACGTGCCCTCACTTCTCTAACAGTTTCGATTATTACCCGCGCAACATTACTTGACCAATGGCCAAGCTTCCCCGTTCCTGGTACAACAAACAGTTCAAGGTAAAAGCTCGCAGTCAGCTCTGATGACAACAACATTGCGAACTCAACAGCTTCGTTGGCCTGAAACAAGCTATTTGTTGTTGCTGCTACGTAAAAGAGATTCGCCATTTCAGGCAAACGAAGTCGGTATGCTTCCCAGGTCAAGAAATTAATCTGTCTTGCATTGCATTGAAATGTGGGTATAACTTTGATTTTCCAGAGGTTGGCATTTGCTTTAGAACTAGTGACTGATTTTGCAATTACTCCCACTCTACCCGCATTACGTGAGGCTATCGGTCAAGTTGCGCAGATATTGCTTTGTGTAGTACATGTAAACGGTGATGAGTAATCGTCCAGGCGAAACACCTAAACGGCAGGAGCAGAGGTTTGGCTCAGCGACGTATATTTGTGTGTTGTCCTGGTGATTTTTCAAATGTAGTTGGATAAATTTATCGGAAATGTTTACTCATTTTTAGGTCACCGAAGCCCGCCTGCTAGTGACAAGGAATCAGAAGAAACGCCCTTAACAAGCGGTAGCGAAGATCTATCGGACTGGACGACATCCGAAGGCGATTGGACCGAAGCTGGAAGTTGCTCGCCACTCCGTCCTTCTACCTCGGGCAGTTCGGCGCAGTCTGCCCGTCGCCGGAGACGAACAGACTTCCCCGAGAGGGCTTCAAAATCGGCGAACAGAGAGAACGAATGCGACGAGGAGCCGCCCAGGAAAATAAAGGAAGTGTCCGGGTGTGCTTCACCGCCGAACCACGGCGTTCGGCCGTCCACGCAACCATTCCTCGGGACGAGTGCCGATTCTTTGAATGCGGACAGCTCAGCGCTCGATTTTTTCCTCCTATTTGTTTCAGAGAATTTGGTGCAGTTCGTTGCACAACAAACTAATAATTTTTATCAGTTTGTGGTGCAACTCGGTTTGCGTTCCAGGAGCGGTCTGTGCAATTCGAAGGTTGAAACCACCACTGTGGAGGAAATGTTTTGCTTCTTGGCCCTGTGTATGTTGATGCCGCGGAGTGAAAAAGTCTGCCTAAGCGAGTACTGGTCCACGGATTCGTTACTTAGTACTCCTGTATTTGGTGAAATGATGTCACAGAAAAGGTTTATTCTCTTATTGCGCATGCTGCATTTCTCCGATGATAGAAACGGCCAAGGACGAGACAAAATTGGAAAAATTGTCGATACTATTCGGCATAATTTTCAACAAGCGTCTTTACTCTTCCAGGCCTTGTGTATTAACGAGAAGCGTTTTACGTTTGAAGGAAGATTATTGCTCAAACAATATGTACCTCCGGAAAGAAGCAGATGTCGGGCCAAACTATTTGTCCTTTGCGACAGTTGGACTGGTTATGTGTTGGACTTTATTCTTTACAGGAAGGGCTCAAATAACGTGGAGAATAAGGGAATAACAGATGACGTAGTAGGAACGTTCCTCCAGCCCTTTTTGGAAAAGGGTCACACAATCTACATTGAGAACTGGGTTACAAGCCCTGCATTGTTCACCTGGCTCCATGCCACAGCCACTGAAGAGAGCAGTGGTAAGAAGCACAGGAAGACCCACATGTTTCAAATGGAAGACGAGCTAAAGACTGGAGAAACAGTGTTCCACGCTTCCAATATAACAATGTCTCTGAAATGGTGCGTCGAAATGGAGATGTGGATGCTCTCTTCATACATTTCGGCAGAATCGGCAACAAATAGAGATAGAACAACTGGAAAGAAAGAAAATGAGTCTCAGTGCATTGTAGAAGATAATCAGAACACCGGAACAGTAGACTGCAGAGACTTGATTCCCTCTTTAATTGAATCGATTCGTACTGCAATCAAGTGGTACAAAAGGTACTTTTTTCATCTCCTTGACCTCTCCATATTTAATGGATATGCTCTGTTTAAAATTGCAACTGGGAAAAATGTTTCAATGGCTCAGTATCATTTGTCACTTATACGAGAGATTACAGAAAAATACTGCAAGGGACTAAAAGAGGATGGGGGAAAGAAGTAAACAGAAAATATACCCTCGCACTTAAAACATCGACATTTTTCCACAGTTGTACTCTCTGAAGTATTGAAAATCACATGTCCTGCTCGTCAATGTGTTGTTTGTACCACAAAGCTTATTACAAGGAATGTAACGTGGGAATGTATTACACCTTGTTGTTAAATGTACCATACCATGGAAGTTTTTTGAAACAAAATGTATAACTTCATATTTAAAAAATAAGCCAAAATATTTAAAGACGTTTAAAAAAGTGTTTGTAAATTTCGACAAAGCTGGACCAAATCGAAAATATAGGACTATCAAAATGATAGGACTTGTGTGGTCTTTCACACTGTCCTATAGGACGCGAAATGCCGTGAGATATTTCATCGTAAAGACAGGCCGTCACGCACCAAGAAATAAAAACCCAAGTGTGTACTGATTCATCCTCAAGTCTATAGGTGTTTCAGTACACTGCTAAAGAAATTAATACTTTTATCAATGTATTAATAACTTATCCTCAAAAGCATACTTAATAGGAATAAAAAACGAGGTATGTCTGACTATTCTCGAAGAAATGTACCGTGTTTTGCTACCTGTGTAATCTTGGTCGACAATAAATTATCAGTTTAAAATATTTTTAATAAAATTTCTGTTCTCTCTTTTCATACCTTCAGTAAAAAACTATTTGCTATTTTGGTTCCTCCTACTTTTTTTTTAATGGAAATAGAGAAGCAGGATTGAAGAAGCACAGAACTATATTGATATCGTTTGAGATGTAGTTGTCTTCGTGAAAGCAAGTGATGGAAAAAACATTAATTACAGATACATTAGTTGACCTATTATATCAATGATTACCCATAAATACGTACATGAACTAAAATTAATATCTTCCCAACTTGTATATTCTTTATTCCATAACAATTCCTGCATTCATGCAATTGGAACATGAAAGGAAGGTATAAGCTACTCCCCACATTACTTTCCCGTATACATTCGTTCCATTGGCACTCAGCTGTCCTTTCTCACCTCACTTGAGGGTACTTCTGGGGGTTAATATTTTCTTACGCCAGAGACGACGCGCCGTGAGATATTCCATCGTAAAGACAGACCGTCACGCGCAAAGATATAAAAACCCACGTGTATACTGATTCATCCTCTAGTCTATAGGTGTTTCAGTACACAGCTAAAGAAATTAATACCTTTATCAGTGCCTCAGCGATCGAGCCCTCCGTGCCCCGGAAACTTGTCAACTAGGGCCCCGTTTATCCGGCGCGACCGGCCGACACCCCAGTGTCCCGAGATCGTAAACTGTGCATCATGAAATTTTCTTTGCAGCAGAGAACATTTCTTTACGACACTTTCGTTTGACTTAAGTATGTCAGTAAGTGCCGCAAGAGGACTATTAACAAATTTCCGGGCGTGGATATTCCACATAGGTCGGCAATTTTGAAGCTTGTAAAGAAACTTCGCTCCTATGGAATTTTAATTGACGAACTGAAGTGTCGAAAGCGCCATATCGTGATAGAATCTGTGCAACATTACAGCAATCTCTAAGAAAATCTTGGCGTCTATTGTTTCTTTCAACAGGTTTTGGCAACTGCTCACTTCAACTGCTGCTGTTCGATCCATGAACTTTTAAAATAATGTTAATAGTGACGATCGAATAACTAGTCGCGCCTTCATAGATCTGATCTGACGCTTTGTGAATTTTTTTCTTTGGAGGTACTTGGAAGACCAGGTATGTGCAAAAACCCGGCGTTCGGTGGAAGAGCTCCAGCTCTCTATTGAGATAATCGCTGCAATTCTTTGAGACATTCTTCAAAGGGTAAATCAGAATATGTTCCGGAGGTGCCAATAATGCATTCTAGCACCACTTGAGCATTCTGGAAGGACACCACTTTCAGCATATTCTTTAAGGTTAGTTGAGCGGCGCATCGATAGTTCACGTATGTGAGCACGGGAGTTGGGTTAGTATTGCGCTGAGCGAATGAGCCCTCAGCTACCCGTGCGACGCGGCCCGAATCTTCGGAGAACGGTACAATTAACACTTCATAAATTAGGGAATGTCATTTAATGCTGCGCGAAGAGACGGCGGATTTGGGGCAGAAAAAAATTCATAGGTAGCGATGGTGTTAAGTGTACTCTGAGATGACTTAAACAAGAGTTTGCTCTTTTTTAATTCCAAAAATGTAATTTATTTGAGTTGTCTCTTACGTTTTCAATATTTACATTAGCGGCAGTTTGTTCACATTATTATATTGACAAGAACACGTGTTTTAATTAGTGTCATATAACGTTTCTCAAACACTCAACAGTTTTCTGTGAAAACTAGCTCAAAATCCCGCATTTTTTGAAACGCTCAAACGCCATTTTCTCTAAAACGGCTCCAATTTTTTCTTTAAATTTTTCTAACAGATAATGCTTATTGCACTCTTTAATATGACGTCAAGTTCGTTTCGGGATACTTGTTTTTTTCAAAATTTACACTAATGTGATCTTTTTAGAAGATCTTGCCGTTAGTATTCACATTTCCAGCAACATGTAAACTCTGTTTTATTTTTGAATTAATGTTCATCATATGACTTCTAATGAAGGTTTTCGAAAATCCAAAATTTTGCTGTATAAAGCTTCAAATTTCGAGTTAACAGTAGCGATTAAGCGCTGTTTTCTGAAAAAACGGCTCCAATTTTTTCAAAGAAAATTGCCATTTAGGACGACATTTACTGTTCTTTAATGGTCGTAAAATAATATGTTATACTATCAGGAAATCGAAAAATTAAGGAAATTTTTAAAAAAAACTGTACAATGGACGGCGATAGATAACAGCTGGCAAGAATATGTGGCAAGTTCGTATAGCAAACCGAGACCAAAGGATATATAAAAGTAATACGGGAAAGTCTTTCCCATTCTGTAGCACCATTTGTTAAAATTTAAACAATTACTTTCTCAGAAACCGCTCCAAAATTTTTCTGTATACTTTTCACAAATGTAGCAAGGTAAAGAAATTTGTGCTGGTTTCATTTTCGGCGCACTCATTTTATTTTTGAAGTTTGCAAGAAAATTCGGAATGGTATTTCTGAATTTTCCACTTTTTGTTTGAGGCGGTGTCAATAATAATAATAATAATAATAATAATAATAATAATAATAATAATAAGGCCGTCGCGTCATAAATATACCGTCAATATATAATACCCTTAATTAAAATTAGCCTAATTAGGCTGTCTCTTACAAATACAATTGAAATGTGATATGGGAGAAAAGTCCAGTAAATCCTGTATTTGAGTATTATAATGTTCTCTACGTGCAATAAAATAGGATTTTCAACTTTAGTAAAGTCAGGAAAAATATATAAACATGTATCAGGTAATTTCGAATGTATTCGTAATGAGATATATTGAATGGTATTTAGTTTTGAACATTCGATTTATTTTATAAATTATTCTTCCTTGTCTGTATGATGTGCTGAAAAAATTGTTTGTAATAGTATTCATTTATTGAATATTTGTTATTATTTTTACTTTTTCAAAATCTAGTATGAAGTTCGAACAGTTTTTGAAAGCAAATTGTCAACAAAGTTGAATTTTTTTGCAGGGTTTTCGCCTTTACTGCTTTCCGGGGCATGTATATGTTTAATTTATTTGAAGACATTTATTGCGAAGAGACTAATTATGGTTTTGTTTGATTGAATGTCGTTATTTATACAAGTGCTACAGATTGGCACAGACTCTCCCATATTAGTTTTCTATTTCCTTTGGTCTCAACTCTCTACTCGGACTTGCCACGTACTTTTGCCAGCTGCCATCTATCGCCGCCCAAAGTACAGTTTTTTTGGACATTTTCCTAATTTTTCAGTTTCCTAATTGTAGACCAGAAATATTATTTTAAGATTATTAAAGAACAGTAAAACCTTGTCCTAAATAGCCGTTTTAAAAAAAACTGGCGTTTAAGCGCAATTTTGCGAACTTTGAACCTCTTTTCTCAGAAAATATTGAGTTTCCGAAAAACTTCATATGAAGTCATTTCAAGCTCTTCTAGTCACAAATGATTACAAGTGAGAGATCTTTCAAAATATGTATATTAGTGTAATTAAAAAAAAAAAAATACACCGAAATGAATTTTACGTTGTATTCAAGAATGCAATTAGCACTATTCCTTCGAAACGAGCCTTAGAGAGGGCCTTTTGAGAATTTCCATAAAACCACTACAATAAAAATTGAAAAACACTTTCATTTATGGCAAGAATAGCGTTTTTAGCTAGAAATAAGAAAATATGTGCTCATTGTTTGCCAACGCGCATTGGCGCATCCGCACATTATTGCCAGTTGTCTATTGCTTAAGGTGAGTTGATGTAGACAGAAATTGCGATATAATAGTATTATGCAACCGTTACTAGGTGCGAGAAAGTATATGCTGTTTTATCTCTACTTATTTCTGACGAGTCGTTAAGGGAACGATGTAAATTGCGACGCTATTACGTGTAGTTGTGTGGCTTCCCTTTGTGTGTCGACATGAAGACCAAATTTGGAAAGTATTGCATAAAGATAAGAGTGTTTGCTTGTATTGAAACCCGAAACACAATTTCCCAGTCTATTAAGGTAATATTGGAGATGCGGCAGAACGAGTATATGAATGCCATATCGTGAATTGACATTTAATGACTGGATCTGGAAGGAGCATTATTCCGACTAATTTGTTATAAGTGTAGAATTGGCAGATGTCAGAAAACATGAACCTTGTAGGCACTTTGCGAAAAACTGAAACGGGTCTTATCGAAAGCACTTCTAAATCCGTAAAGAGAGTAACATTGTTTCAGTTTGTATTCTCAAAAGAAATAACCTGTCCTATTCCGAAACGCAAAAAGTGTGTTGTACTTCTCCCAACAAAGTTTTTTAACGTATCAGTTTTTACTACGCATGTTGAGAAAATCAAAGACTACCAAACATAGTCGCCCTTAGAGTTTTCCAATGAAACCAGTGTATTCGCAAGGCGCCCATGTTGGTGCAACCCAATTTGTATCTGTCGCGTACTGTTAAAGTGTGCGACGAAGTGCTGCATTTTATTTCGTATACATTTAGAAGGGCTTGTAGTGTGGTAGAGTGATTGTGTATTGAAAGTGTAATCGATCATGCTCACTTGTGTTGCATTTGGTTGTGCCAGGTATAGAGCCATCCACACGTAAGTATTGTTAAGAATTTGTTTTACTAATTATTCAAAAATGTGCATCTACATGTGTGGCGATTTCAATCAAAATTACAACAAAGAGTTCGACCCTTACAACCTCTTTTGAGGGAACCTACTCTTCCCTTGGAACTTCGCTTGGCACTCTTCGCAACACGTGTTGCCGGCCTGTGGCCACTTACGCTGCGGCAACGAGGCACTTGGCACGAGGCACGCGGCACTTGAGCTAGTACTGAACAAAGTTTTATGGCTCATAGTAGCTCGCCCTCCGTTTCGGAAACGGTTGAAAGTACTGAGGAAGAAAATTGATATTAAGTCTTTCACTTAATGATTGAGACGGCTTTCGTTTAACGAAGCCTTTCAAGCCAACGAAGCTCCGACAACGCTAAAACAATTAGCTCGACT